GTGGCTTCAGTGTGGAGCTGTTAGTTTGCCCCCAGCTTGTGAGACAGTATGTAAGTATGTGACATGATCATGGCTATTCTATGTATAATTTTGTCAGAATTCAATGTCATTGTGTTTCCTATGTATTTAAAATTTGCTAGGCTAAACTTGACTCTTTGGGTCATTTTTTTGAATTGTGTTTTGAATGTTAAATTAGAGTCAATAATGATTCCAAGGTACTTAACCTGAGGCACAATGTTAATATGTTCACCTGAGATGCTTATAGATGACACAATGTTGCATTTTCTTTTTGTGAAAACATTCCAACTGTTTTGTTGACATTAAGCTGAAGACAGGAGCAGTGTAGCCAGCTAGTGACCAGCACTAAAGCTGAGGTGAGTTTATCAGCAGCCTTTTGCTTTGTATTGGCATGCACATATATCACAGTGTCATCGGCATATAGCTGTGTTTCCAGATCAGGACAGACAGGTGGCAGGTCATTAATATATAGGGAAAAAATAAGTGGACCAAGTATTGAACCTTGTGGTACTCCGGTGCTTAAGTCTAGAGCTCGAGAGAGTCGATTATTGACGATAACATGCTGACGCCTACCAGTGAGGTATGATTCAATCCAACTGAGTGTTAATGGAGAGCAGTTAAAAGCCGACAGTTTGTACAGAAGGACCTTATGGTTGACTGTATCAAAAGCTTTGCGTAGATCCAGGAATACTGCACCAACAACACCTCCTTTGTCAACCATTGCTTTGACCTTTTCTATAAAAAAGCAGTTGGCTGTTTCGGTTGAATAATTTGCCCTGAAGCCAAACTGCATGGGATGAAGTTGAAATGGACTGTTGTTTAAGAAGGAGACAAGCTGTTCTGACACCCACTTCTCAGACACCTTGGATACTACATGTAAGATGCTAATTGGGCGGTGGTTGTTGATGTTCAGAGGGTCACCTGACTTGAAAATGGGGGTTACAATTGCAGTCTTCCATGCACTTGGGAATGTCCCATGTAATACAGATGAATTGATGATTTGGGTAAGAGGGCAGACTAGGTCATCTTGCAGTGATTTAAGCATTGTAGGGGGGGCTGTATTGTGCAGGATTTTGTAAACCAGAACGATGTTCCCTCTACTTTATTAAATCTTCCCAACTCAGGATGTTATGCTTGTTGAGGATGGTACAGTGATGGGAGCAGTTAGGTTTCTGGTCCAGTACTTTGAGGGTTTGTTTGTACAGGGTTGCTAGTGGCTTCAGTGTGGAGCTGTTAGTTTGCCCCCAGCTTGTGAGACAGTATGTAAGATGTGAGATGATCATGGCATTCATGTATAATTTGGCAGAATTCAATGTCATTGTGTTTGTTATGTATATAAAATTTGCTAGGCTAAAATTGACTCTTTGGGTTAATGAAATAGGTTTACCCCCGGTGGAGACGAAGATAGGGGCCGGCCGTGCAGAGCCACTATTTCAAGTATACTCCGTCAACATAGATGACGTCATCGTAGATGACATAAAGTTGCTCTCATTCGTGAGTTTCTTCCTCTACTGTCAGTGTTATTGGCCGCTTGTCTCGTTGAACAGCAAACCGGTGAGCTGGAGCTGTCCTCTCCGCAGCAGAGCCGCCTGAACCAGGTGATCCGGGCCGTCACACAGGTACGGAAACATCTTCAAAAGTTTCACCTTCCCTCTCTAATTATTATTTCTGAATATTACAAGATGTCAGAAGTCATTTCAGAAATGGACACCATTTCTGATCATTGTTCCATTTCTTTCTGTAATGACTATACTGTTGATTCCAATAGATATCTCTATAGATATACAGTACATCCTTCACTTTGATATGTATACATGTACTACCTTCTACTGTTGATATGTATATCTTTACTGTTTTTTAATGTTCTACTTGATGTTACCTTTAATCCATGTGTGATGTCTCATCTACCTGCTGCTCTGTTGAAAACATGTCCCAAATTGGGCTTTATAAAATCCATCTGATGTTTGTGCAGATCATCACCTTCTCTGGAGCCATCGGCCTGCAGTCCAACAGCGCCTGTCTGCTGGGACACCTGCAGCTGGCCCACATGTCCACCAGCCACAGCCACACAGCAGGTAGGAGCACAATCTGGTGTCTGTTGATAAGACGAGGAGCTGTCTGCTGTGATATATCTGTCTCCATGTCCTCCTGTCCTCAGTTCCTCAGGACTTCAGTTACCTCTCAGAGAAAAGTCTCCTCAGACCCATCATTGACTTCATCACAGAGGCAGGAAGAAAAGGTTTGTTGATTCATTATATTTCCTTCCAATCAGTGTGTCAGTGTCTGTCTACAAATCTGTTTGTTTAATAAAGTTGAACTAAATAGAATGTGGGGAACAAGTGCTGGTGGAATTCCTTTGTTTTATTTCTAATGTGTTCTCTTAGACGTTAAAAATGATTCCTGTCAGAAACTCTTTCCCATCTGTTATCTAAGATGAAGGAAAGTCACTTAAAAAATGATTGTGGTTCCAACCTGGTCTAAAGGTATTACAACAGAGGAGACATTATATCACACTTAGAAATTGAATTTCCAGAGTGTATCTTTCTTGTTGTCAAAATGATACTTTAAGCTATATAATACCGCTTTATTTGTATAGCGCTTTTCATACACTAGGTGCAGCTCAAAGAGAAACATGGCACTCATCACACATTAAAGCAGAGAAGAAGAAACTTCAGGACGGACGGTATACCTTTTTCCACAGCATGATATAACAATCTGACAGTTTAAAAAAATGTATATAATATGAATTATAAAGATTAAAAGAGGGAGTGTCGCTAATAAAACACTTTTTTATTTATTTAAATAAAGCGTATTAAAGCGTTGAAATAAATAAAACAATATAAAAATAATATATAATGAAAATCAAAACACCATTTAAAAGGGGTCGCAAATAAAAAGTGTCTCAAATAAAAAGCTAATCTAAAAAGATGTGTCTTCAGCTGTCGTTTAAGAATGTCCACTGAGTGAAATAGATTTATATATATTGCTGCCTCTGCTAGAACTTTCTTCTTGCTTTTATGAATCTCCAGGTCCAGAGTTTTCCCCTCCATCTCTGGTGAAGGCGGCTCTGACCCCGTTGGCCTCCGTTGGATCCAGTTTCCAGTACCCCCCCATCAACTGGAGCGCCGTGCTGTCCCCTCTGATGAGACTCAGCTTCGGTAAGTTCTTTGAAGAGTTCTCTGAAGAGTTCTCGGATGTTCCTGAGGAGTCCGACCCCCTCTCACGTCTGTTTCCTCCCCAGGAGAGGACGTGCAGCACCAGTGTCTGTGCCTCGCATCCTGTCAGGCTCAGACTTCCCAGAGTGCATCTCTCTTCCTGGGCTCATGGCTGGCCCCACCTCTTGTGCACAGCCTCAGTGTAAGTTCTTCTTCAGTAACATTTGACATTGAAGTAGAACCTTTTTCTCCACCTATTTCACAGATGAAATGTATTATAAGGAACTTAGAAAGACAATTCTGGCAATAATTATTATTATTATAATTATCTAGAGGAACCTAGACATAAGATGCACGCTTTAATCTCCAGCCCTCCCGTTGGACCTGACTCTGGTGATGTCTCTCCCCCCCAGCTCCTGACCCGGGCCCACCTGTATGAGGGTCTGGGTCTGTGGATGAAGCATGTGGCTGAGGACAAGCTGCAGGTCCACACAGAGAGTCTGGGTCTGCAGCAGTTCCAGGACGACCTCCGACCCCAGCGCCTGGTCCTGTGCAGCTCCCTGCTGCAGGGCCTGGCTCAGGCCATGGCCCTCCCCAACCCCCCCAACAGCTGCTGGACCCTCCTCTGCTCCACAACGGAGAAGATCTTCACCCTGCTGCCCAACCACATCCAGGTACAAGGCTGGAAACGTTGTCATTCGTTTTATTCCACTCATGGTAATTATTTCAAAACATGTACAATTAAAGCAGTTTTTAGTAGCCCATGATGGAAAGGAGCAGTGAGAAGAAAGTCTGTCTTGGTTTAGCCACCAACTGAAGCTTCAACTTCTTACTTATCTATCTGGCCGGAACAATTCAACTGTAAAATGTCAAATGTATTATCTCTTCGATTTACACACGGCATCTTTTGCACGTCTGTCCGTCCTGGGAGAGGGATCCCTCCTCTGTTGCTCTCCCTGAGGTTTCTCCCATGTTCCCCTTTAAACTGTGGGTTTTCTCTGGAAGTGTTTCCTTGTACGATGTGAAGGTCTAAGGACAGAGGGTGTCGTATTGTCATACTGATATTCTGTACAAACTGTGAAGTCCACTGAGACAAATGTAACATTATGATACATTTGTGATATTGGGCTATATAAATAAACATTGATTGATTGATGTAATATGTGTAGATTGAATAGTCTTGCTGAAGAACACACATTCATACACACATACCTCGCACAGAAAGGCAGTGTCAGAGAAATCAAAGTGTTAATGGGACACTGTGACGTCTTGTTGTCTCTCCTGTGCCAGGCGGTGGAGGTGATCGAGGAGCAGTCCGGCGTTCAGGACTCGCGGCTGCTGAGTCAGCGCACAGAGGCCTTCCTGTCTCTGGCTCGCTTCTCCGACGCTCAGTACCAGAGCATCGACAAATACATGACCTCGTCTGAGTTCGAGAACAAGCAGGCGCTGCTGGAGAAGGCCAAGGAGGAAGTGGACCTGATCAAGGAGAAGAAAATGATGTCCAACAGGTCTGTGCTCTCATGATTCATGTTATTTCTTTCTAAATGGGGTTATTGAAAGGGAAAACACAGAGTGGAGTTCGATGTGTTCGCTCAAAAATAAAATAACAAACGTTTACATGTGCAACAAAGAACCGAGGCCTTTACAATATTCAAAACAAATAAGCAAAACTCAAATGAAATTACAAAAAGCGTAGGTATTCTTTCTTCTTGATAAGGCTTATATAACTTAATAACTTAGAGGGTAGTTTAACGGCAGGTTTCCCATCACTGTCCCCTTTAGAGGAGGCGCCGTGGGAATTGTAGTCTTTTATAGTCTGTTGACTACAGACGTCACAATTAGGTGGCCTTTCTTATAAGATCAAAATACTGGCTCTAACAACACCAAAAAGGAACTTTATATGGCCCTAATAGATGGTTTTGCTTCCATATTTTTGCTTGATCTGACTCCCAGGTACACGATAAAGGTGGAGAGGGAGATGGAGCTGGATCAGAAGGCTCTGTCCAACCTTCAGGAAGACAAACAGCGCTTCCTGTGTAAGGCGGTGGAAAACTACATCCAGTGTCTGGAGCAGGGGCGGGAGCACGACACCTGGGTGTTTCGCCTGGCTTCACTGTGGCTGGAGAACGCCGACGTTAAGGCCGTAAACAACATGATGAAGGTTAGTGAGAGGGTGGGGCTGAGGGTGAATCATCCATTCCTCTCAGGAAGGATCTCAGCTGTGGGAAATTACCCAGAGAGTCTAAGTGTCAGCCATGATAAGAGCTGTTGGACTTGAAGGTACTTCCTTCATTATCTCCTTTAGCTTAGGATACACTGAAACATCGTTAAGATAAAAGGAAAGGAGATTATGCTGTCCCAGAATACCTTGCAGCCGCTACATTTTAAATGGCCGTTCACGGAAACAACCAATCGTTAGAAACGCAGATTTTAGTTAACCCCCTGATGTTTCTCACTGAGGTTAAGTAGAAGTGGATAGGAAAAGACAGAGGAGCTGCTTTATTTGACAATTTGACAGTTACATAGTATTGCATTGCATTTTAGGCAAGGCAAGGCAAGGTTGATTATATAGCACCTTTCAACACAGGTTGATTCAAAGTGCTTTACAAAAATAAAAGACATTAAGAAAATGGCATTTAAAAACAGTCATTAAAAAGCAAAGATAATAAAGTAAACATTAATAAAAGATAACATTAAAAAATATATGAATAAAAGTTGCATTTTATTTAAAGGGGACCTATCATGCAAAATGCCCTTTTTGATGTCTTTTATACAAAAATACGTGTCCCTGGTGTGTCGGGGAACTCACGCAGCGTCAGAAAATACCGTACCCAAATCTCTAAAGCTGATCCAGATTTGCGTCCGATATGACGTAATGTCTGAAATGTAGGCTGGCTTTACATTACATTGCATTTAGCTGACTTTTTTATCCAAAGCGACTTACAATAAGTACATACTTTACACCCACGGCCCTATCAGAAAGTTGCTATCAGAAACAATGCCCGACTGTTTTGGATGTAATATGGTCGGTGTTTACATTAGCATCGCTAACACTCAGAGCTAACCTGTACTGGAGAGCATGTGTGTGAAGAAGCAGGAAGTAAAAAGGAACTCACCTTGTGTTATAACCGGCAAGAGAGAAAGCCTTTGAGCTCCACACTGTTTCAGAGATAATCCTTGATAATCCATGATATGGCGTTTCATCACCGCAGTATTTAGTTTAGACAGTAGCTGCCGGGTCCCGCATGAGCTCATTAAGCTTTATACCCCAAATCAGCACTTTTGAAACAGGAAGTGAAATAGAGGGATATGAGGCATGGCTAGAATGGGTGATCTGTTTGGTATTTTGAGCAAAACACTTCATAGACATGTTTTTTATATATTTGTTATATCTGAGACCTATGCTATTGCCTAAAAATAGCAAGGTAGGTGACCTTTAAAATAAAAAATTTAACATTTATAAGAATAGCTAACTCAAATCAATCGATAATCATAGGTGATAGTTCGCGTAGTGTCTCCTCTTCACATCCTGAGCCCCAGCTTCACTCTTCTTTGTTGGGAAGCAGTTTCCGGAGTCAGCTGAACGTGATGGAGGAAGCAGTTTGATGACTGTGCAGGACGTCCTCCTGCAGACTCTGTTCCTGCTGTCGCTCTCTCTCAGAGTACACAATGAACTCAGAAAATCCCCAAATACATCAAACCCCAACCTTCCCCCCGTCTCACTCTCTACCCGTCTGTCCCACTTCCTGTCTCTCAGTTTCAGCATGGACACAGTCAAACGAATGCGCTTTATCATACTGTATCCTGTAGGATCAATATTGCTTTTCATATCTATTATAGATTTTTGGAATACTCATTGTGTCTGTTTACCTGCAGTTAAGAAGTATTCAGATCAAATACTGCAGGAAACACTCTGGCACAGTTAATGTCCTGTATTCAAAATAATATATAAAGTATATAAGATCAGAAACATTTAGATAAAGTATCAAAGGTATGCACATTTCCCAGGTTTATATTTTATTTAATTATATATATTTTTTTTAACATATTTGCATCAGATTTTATTTAGATTTGATTGTATTCTTTTCTATTCCATGTGCACGTTTATTAAAGTACTGTTTTCATCGTTTATGGTGGTTTTGTACATATCATTTTAGAAATGTTCATTTATTTAATCTTTATTCCAATATATCATGAATCTTCAATTTTTTCATTCCCAGTTTTTATCTTTTGTATTTTTCATTTTTAGATTCTGACTGGTTCTGATTTCCTTCCTAAGGTGTGCAGGCTCGGCTCCAGCAGCAGCGCAGTGACCCAAATCGGGAACAGAACGACTACCAGAACCCCCCGGTTCACCTCAATCACCAGGACCACCGGGAAAACCAGAATCACCAGGACCACCAAAAGAAGGAAGGATACCAGCATCACCAGGACAACCGGGAAAACGAGAAAGACAAGGACCTCCAAAACCTGTATGACAAACAGGACCAACAGACCAACAGCACCAGGTCCCCCCCGCTGGACCAGGACCAGGACTACCAAAAGCAGGATGAACACCAGAATTATCAGGAAGACTCGAACAACCAGAAAGTCCAGGACCTCCAGGACCTGTATGACAAACAGGAACAACAGACCGACAGCACCACGCCCCCCCCACTGGACCCGGACCAGAACCACACCTCACCCCCCACCGCAGACCCAAATTACCTCCATCATCACAGGGAGACGGAACACTTCCGTCCTGGTGAGTGTTTTTGAACGGATTGGTTAAAATTATATTGAATTGTATTGAAATACTTTTTTCTTTTTTTATTAAAGTTTTTATTTATGAACATACATGGTACATAGCTCACATGGTACAGCATACAGAAAGAAGAAGGTCAGGCTACCAAACATGTTAGTTAAAGCTCCCATGTCATGGCCATTTCTACTGATCATATTTCCATTGTTGAGGTCTACTAGAATAGATTTAAATTGTGCAATTTTCCAAACTCACATTGGTTTCTCATACAGCATCTCTGTATAGTATGTGTATTCACTCTCTGTCCTAAACGG